TGTTGTTGTTGTTAACTGATTTTTTGGGAAGGAAGAGTGTTCACTTGTATGAGTGTAACTTAGGGATACAGACTCTCCAATATTTCACAGAATGGTTAAGCTTGGAAGGGACCTCTAGAGATCATCTAGTCCATTCGATGAGCCTGTTTGTTTGGAAGATCCTGAAGCTTGTTGGAAATAATAGGTGATGGATACCCCATTGGTGGATAGATTTGAGGGGAAAAATGAAATACTAAGCAAAAATGAAAACCTGCTCCTTGATAATCTGGCTACCCTAGATTTAGACCATAATTTTAATTACGAGAAATTTAACTTTCTTGACTCTTACAGCCTCGCTTACATGATAGACATTTCACATTCCTGAACCAAAGAAATATTTCCATTTAACATCTGAAATTTGCAGTTGCATCATTACATAGACATGATTTTCTGCTATATTCTCGCCACCGAAGTGGCAGCTCAACCATGGAGATCTTTTACCAAGTGGGCAGAACACAGCTAATTGACTATAGCAGAAATTAGACTATCATTAAATAATTATTTGCAAGTTTTTGTCTTTAAGTGTGGGTACCTTAGATTTCCGTTCATGTCTTAGGATCTTTTTAACAGAATCATGCCAGTCTGTATAGCTGCTCAAACTGCTTACTCTCTGCTCCTTATTTTTTGAAATTTAGTGTTGTTCTGCAGCTTATGTCCTTCAGAATGGAGTGGGTGTCATCACCCAAGGGAAGGATGGTCTCAGTTTTGAAGTGGGGATATAGCTGATGGAATTGGCCCTTGTGTTTTCCTCCCCCCACCCCCTCCCCATGAGGAAGCATAATTTCCTAGAACATCAGAAAAGAAATCTCATAATCTTAATGTGCACATCAAGTGATACTGATAAGAACACTGTCATAATGAACTCTTAGAAAATATGTTTCCATAAAGTGTAAAGTTTTAAGTTTTGCAGTTACTTTGCAAGGTAAATGGCTGCCAAAATATCTTAGTAAGATTTGTGTTGAGGTGTCACTCTTGTTTAAAGCAGCTCTGTAGTATTTGACCTGTTGGAGGTGTCTACATAATAAAAAGAAACAGTCAGAAAATGAATCAATCAATGTGCTTTTAAAATGCTCAGACATATTTAAAATTTACTGCTGTTAAAGTAGGTGGGATATCTGTATCCATGACAATTAAGGTATGTGAGTTTGTAATGACATTGAATGAGCCAAAAGCAAATATAGAAGAGGTGTTTTAAGAGCTGGCAAAAAGTCTGAGTTTGCATTTTTAAATAGAAATAACTGTTCTTTCACAAATGCATTAGTGAAACTAGGAACTATTAAGAAATGATGAAGAAGATAAAAGCTTAGTGATTAGTAATTTTAAAGTGCTTTTCTTCAAATTCTATTTCTGTCTTGCTAAAATAGTGTGTGTGTGTGTGTGTGCTGCTGCATGATAAGAGGGTGGTGGATGCAAATAAAAAGAAAGCTTAAATTGGAGAGAGAAAAAAAAAAGTATCTGGAAAATATGCCTATAAATAGATTGACAGGTCCAAACAATTTTCAGCGAAGTGTATCAAGCTAATATGTGGCCAGCTAATTTGCAGTAGCATTGGAACTAGGTAGAGCCACAGAAGTGTATGAAGACTGGAGAAGAGTATGAGGAGCTTTCATGGGAGAAATCAGGTGCCACATCTGTTTGTTGGAATAAATAATGGAATAAATAATTTATAGAAATCAATAAATGTCTCAAAGGTAATGAAACCATAAGCAAAAGCACTTACAGGCGTCTAGCAAATTAATCTTGCCAAACATCATTTGTTTTGCTTTCCTGAATAGTGATGTACAATTAAAGGGAAAATAGCAGCATTGTAGGCTCGGAATTGTTCAACAGTAGCAATTCTGAAAAGCAAGGCTGGACAGCCAAATAGCTATAACCCTTCTAAAGTTTTTACTCTCACTTTAATAAACAGAATTGACTCAGCTTTCTAAGTGGGAAATACTGCAATTTGAAAACCAAGTAAAACACGTCTCATTTTTATCCTGGTTGAGTGGGTATCAGGAGCAGCTGGTCTTCTACAAAGCTGTATCAATCTGTTAGAAAGCAATGATATTTGCTAGAGTTCATAGTTATTTAGTGCTTTCATAGACATTGTCTGCTCTACTTCTGGAAAGTCTATGGGAAGACATAATCAAAGGGCTTAATATCCTGGTTTGTAGATAGGTAGCTCTAAGGTTGATAAATATACAGAATTTCTTCTCAACCGTTCTTAGTGTTTGATTCTGTTTCCTTATATGGAGAAAAAAAAGTGTGCAGGCTGGAGCAGTGTAGTTATTAAGAGGCAAAACTTGTTGGTTTACTTCTGCAAAGGTGTGAGGGAAAGAATTAATTCCTGTGATTTACTTCTTTCAAAAGTATATGTGGAAAACAGGAGCTGCTTCCCACGTTCAGTCAAAACATACCTTGTTTGGGAAGAGTAATAAATTTCTCCAGTTTTGGAAAGCAGCAGTTTTAATAAGCTTCTTACATAAAATAAACCACTTCCTTTTGCCAAAATTTATCTAAAGCAACCTCAGAGATGAGTCATGTGACATTTTTTTTTACTTTTTGCCGAAAAGCTAACCAGGCTTTTCTAGAGGGGAAAAAAAAGTAAGAGAACTGAGATTCATATGAATTCTCTACAGAAAAAAAACAAGGCTTAGTTAATATTGTGTTTAATGGCAACTGATTTCTGTAATGGAAGTTAGTGGGTTCAGTAAATCTGACCTGACTAGCTGCATTATCTGCCCTTTTGCACGGATCGTCTTTAACCCCTGTAGTTTTTCTAGGATGGTGTTTTGGGAACCTGAAAGCTATTTAGATATAAACCATTCTCTTTATTCATGAAAAGATGAGTTTTCAATTAAAATTGTGCTTGTGGCACAGCTCTTTTCAGTGTTTCCTCTCATGCTTTCATCTGCTTTGCAAGTCAATCTGTTTTCCTACAAGTTGCTGCGTTTTCAACTGTGCGATGTTTTTTGCATGTATTTAGCAAGTGCTGATAGTTTTAAATCACATCTGAGTGTGCCTGGTTGTTGGATTTAGTTTTCCTACAATCAGATTTCATGGCCTGGTATGCTGAAATGTGAGTTTGCTTACAGCTAGTCTGCTGAATCAACTGCAAAAACAAAAACTAAAAACCTGACCTTGGCAAGGTGCAAGGAGCGGAGGTTCTGCAGTGCACTATGAGATCGTAAAGGAACGAGGATGTTCAAATGTGTTACAGTTGTATCATATCCTAAGCTGGTTGGAGCACTCTTCAGTAGTAAACAGGAAGGAATTTAAAGTATATGGCAGGATGTCGTCTGGAGCTGAAAAGAAAAATATTTAATAGAAGAATTCTATTTTATCCCATAAGTTACCCAGGTATTTTGAAGCTGAAGCTTCTCTTCTCCACTAATTCCTGCAAAATATTGCTAAGAATGTGCAGTGGAGTTTCTGCAGCCTGGATGCTTGGGTATGATAAAGCTCACATTGCAGAGAAGTGGTTGTTGCCAGTGCTGTGTGATTTCTGTGGGGGTAGAAACTGAACAGTTATCACCAGAAAACAAGACTGTTATTTCTTTTGTCTTAGGCTAACTTCAAAGTGCATGTGATTTTTATTATTAAACATAATGACTGTCAGTTCCATGTTAATCCTTTAAATGAGAAATGCGAAAAAATTGGCTAGTCTGCCTTATATAAACAGGATCTGCTTGTGTGTGTCAAAATAACTGGAGATCTTTCCACACAGCAGTATCAAGTATGGGATTTGTGACAACGGATGACTGACCTGCCTGACCCAGTGTGGAAGTACCAGTAGTGCTCTGGCTGTCATACTTAAATGACTAATTTGCAAAAATTCCTTTCCTACTTCAACATTGCCCATTTTCTGACTGGGCTTAAGCTGACCCCAGTGCCCCTTTTCAAAGAGCATCTTCGGAAGGCTGTGCGAGTCGCTGCCTCTTGGGACCTTTCGCGTGGGACAGGGCGTGAGGCTGGGCAGGAGGGTCCCCAAGGCCCACGCGGACCCTGGGGCTGCTCTCTAGGCAAGTGAGCACTGATGCTGGGCCATGTGGGGGGCACCCCACCTGTTTTCCTGCTTCCCTTTAGGGCATCTATGGTCTATAGATGTGTGTGCTAAGCTTTGCTGAGTTATCCGGACATAATCCATGGTTACTGTTCACCCCTCCACCCCAGTGTATATGTTGCACATGAGAGGCAAACAAATGGCACTGGACTAGAGGCGAACAAATGGCACTGGACTATAAACTTACTGCGTGACTGACTGTCCTTTGGGCAGCAAGATACCACCCTGCTGAGGGAACAGCCCTGCTTTTTTCTTTCCTGGATTTCAACAAATTGCTCTCATTATCTCTGTGCCCTTTTGTACTAACCATGATACTTTGTAAAAGGTAATTTCTCATTATATTTACAAAAAAAAAAAAAAGAGAAAGAACTAGGAAGTAATCTTCCACATCTTTTGATGGTGCAGTCTGATCCTTAAAGAAGGAGCTAACAACCCATACATCAGAGATTTGCAGGCTTTTTTCTCCTTTTGTCTGTTTGCTTTTTATTTATTGCTAGTTGAGATTCCAGAAAAATTTTGTTCATGGAATATACTGAAAACTCAACACTGAAAAAGGGATCTGATTCCATAAAACAATCTTTGTTTGTAAATTTCATGTATGTGAGGGCTACTGTGTTGAGAGGAAAGGCTTAATCTGTAAAAAGAAATTGTGTCATTATGTGCCTTAGGTAAGGAGTCATAATTGTATAATTCTTAGAAAATGCAATGTGCTCTGATATGGGCAAAATTAAAATTCCCTGGGCTTTTAGCCTTTTTTTTGTGTCTTAATGTACATGTCTTTCAGTTGGGACAATATTGGAACATTAAATCGTAAAGTGTTCTTTGTATATTTAAAAGCCATTTCTCTATAAAGATGAATATACCTCATCTGAATAAGCTCATTACATTTTAATGTATACCCTTGAATGTTTTTCAGGAACTCCAGAAAAGAACTTAATGACATACGGTTTGAGTTTACTCCAGGCAGAGGTAAGGTTGCCTTATTTGAAATTATTCTCATATTGCTCAAAAAGGTTTTTCAGAAATTGGTTACTGCTTGTGGTTAATATAAATTACCATTCTAAACTATTTGTTACTGTGCAGAGCTTTATATTGTGCTTAAACAAAAATAGTAGATGCATAGAAATTCTAGTGGTAAGTGGCCATAATGTACACTATATATTTAAAGATTTTATCTCTATCAATATTACATTTTGCTCAAATGTTTCATACAGTATATAGGAGCTTGAATAGTGATGTTTATGGCTACATTTTGACATTTGGAAAATGTCATGGAAAATGGAACATAGTAGCCATAAAGGTGTGTGTGTGCTGATGATGAATTGTTTTGCCTTCTGTAAGAGAAAGTTCTGTTCACAAGTATGAAGCGTGCACTATTTTTCAAATGCTGTTTTTAAGTGGAAGTTGGATTGCACTTCTACCATACAAATGATCACCAGAAATAAATTTTAAATTCACCAGAAATAAAACCTTAAGACTCTACTGCATGTTTGTAGATCTATATTGGTTTACCAATATAGAGCTGAGTTTATAGTGCTAAGTTTTAAGAAATCATAAAACTTAGTTTTATCTGAAAAAATACAAACAAACAAAACCAAAAAACAAATAGCTACTGATGGCATAAAATGCACGAAGACAATATGTTTAGTAAAAGGCATCATAGCAGTCACTAGAAGTATAACCATATTGTGCATTTCACAGAAGTCAATATTTATTATATTTAGAATAATGCCCAAAGAGCTTCTATCTAAAAATGAGCCCAACTTGGCAAAGGTGGCTCTTTCCCTGTAAATCATAAAATCATGTGCAGTAGTTCTGTGCTTGTATATATTCGGTTGTGTACCTGTCTCATTGTTTTTTGAAATGGGGGATAACTACCGAAAATCTTAAATTAATTTGGCATTTAACTTTTGAAAGGAATGACTTAAATCCTATGTAAGCAATAACATAACCCATGCAAGAATTCTTATTTGGTTAAAAATAGTGAATTCTGCATAGCAAACACCAGGATCCAGCGTTCCTGGTAGTCACTCACAGAGGCAGCCAGCCCGAGGCTCAGGCTCTGCTCCTCGGAAGCTGAAGCCAGGGCAGGTGCATTGGTCCTGCCCTGCCTCTTTCTTCAGAAGTGGAGCCATGGTTTAGCCAGAAGGAAATATTAGGCACAAGGTCTTAGGAATAACCTACTCAGACACCGCAATTGCTGTCCACCCACTGCTCTGAGTAGATGTCTCAGGAGTTTCCTGAGTCACAATACTCAAAAGGTATTTTAAACCTAAAGCACAAGGAAAGTAATTACTGTTTGTGCAACTCCTCCAATAACAACAGGCAAGAAAACCTATGAGAGAGAGCGCGTGCAGTGCTGTGATTACAGTGTGATTACAGCACTGCTTTGTCTCTAGATAAACAGTGCGATGGGGAAACAAGAAAGTCTCTCTCTTTCTCTCGCTCTTGCAAGAGAGTGACAGTAATACCCCAACAAAGTTTATTTTTGTGGTTGTGAAGCTTCTCAAGCTGCATCCTGAGCAGGAGTAGCTCTGTGGTAATGGAGGAGAAATGCAAGTGTCCAGGAATGGGTAGTGTGGGGCTTGTAGTGAATCAAATCATCTCCTTGTGCTTTTTATTTTGCAGAAGCTGATAAAATCATTACTTTGGAAATTTGGGATACATTTTTTTTTTTAAACTCTAATGAAAAATAATTTTGATTTCAAGCCTGTCTCCATGGGAGTTTTGGTAGTAAAATATATTCTGGTGAAATTGCACTGGGTGATTGATGCTTTTTGTTGTTTTTGTGGGCTCTTATACTTATTCATTTCACCTTTTGGACAGACACGGCAGATGGCGTTTCTCAGGAGCTGTTCTCTGCAGGCTTGGTTGATGGCCATGATGTAGTTATAGGTAAATTAAATTTTTGTTTGTAATTATGCTCTTGTGGCAAGTCAATGTTAAATGGATGTGAAAAATGTATTCTGTAACTCTGCTTTCTATAAAATCTTTTTGGTCCTAATTCTGTTTTCGTGTATGAGTAGTACAATCAACAAGCCAATTCTGGTATCAGTCCAAGGACTGTCTTTGGAAGTCAGAACACTTTAGTGGTTTGAGAGAGGTGATATAATGTAGATCTCCTGCAGGATTGTTTACAGCTCAATGGTTGATAATTTTTGTACTAACTTTTTTTTTTCTACTTAGCAGTAAATTGATTTTGGGATTTTTACTTTTGAAAAATATGCTTTGGCAGCTCTGCTCCCAGTGAAGTTAGTAAGTACCCATCTGACTTCATGGAAGTCAACAGGATCAAATCAGAGTTCAGGATCTAGGGAAACTATACACAGAGATATTAGTCCTAGCAGGTAAACGTTATCAGAATGCTTAGTAGATGCTGAAAAGAAGTAGGCCTCTCTATTGTTCTGTTCTGTGTGATTTTTTTTTAAATGAAATTTAATGTCAGACAAAGGGGATTCATTTGGAAACGCTGCTCTCCCTGTGGGGCCCCCTTTTCCGTGATTGTTCAAGACAGATACATAGAAATACAGTTACCAAAAATCAAAGGGTGCTTAGTAGATGTTTAAAGTTTAACACCTGAATCAAGGAATGGATCAGGTTTTGCATTTCTGCCCAAGAAGTTCATCTCAGTTGGTTTGGATACCTTTAGTGGTATGGAGAGTGTTCCACGTGCTCATACCACTTGCCTGGGAGGGAGTCCAAATACATAGGCAGCATGGCCTTACGCTCTCTAACATCCTTGAGAGGTCCCAATACTACTTGCTCTCTTAATTCAGTCTATTGCTCTGTAGATAAGGGCTCGGGGTGCAGCTGGCCTGTCATCATTTTCAGCCAGGCTGAAAAACAGCAGTACCACAGCGTTGAAAAGGCTTTTTAAGTATCTGAAGTGAGAGAACTTCTCACTTTCTTCCTTTTTCCTTTCTTTTTTTTTTCCTTTTTAATAAAGAATCCTCTAGTTAGGAGAAGACACGTTATGTGTGAACAGTCTCCCAGCTGCCAGTGCGGCCGCGCCAGCTCCTCCGTGTTGTGCAGAAGGGGGAGTCACAGCTGGCGACGCCGAGGTGCAAGACCAAGCAGGACCCACCGAAACCCTCTTTTTGCCTTCTTCACTCTTCCCTTTTGTCCTTGTGCTGCAGAGTGCTCCAATGCAGAGTCCCAGTGTCTTTATGGAATCCCATAAATGGGATAGCATCTTTCAGGGATGTTTAGGGAAAGAAAGCAAATCAGGATATTCCATATGGCTTTAGTGATGGGACTCTAGTCCTTGAAGAAACAGAAATATTAAAATGACTTTGATTTTTTTTTTTTTTTTTTTTTTTTTTTTTTTTTTTTTTTTTTTTTTTTTTTTTTTTTTTTTTTTTTTTTTTTTTTTTTTTTTTTTTTTTTGGTACTAGGATGATAGGCTTTTCTGTTCTTTCCTCTTGACCTTTGTGTCATGGTATTACGAAAAAATAAGGAAAACTGAATGCTCTAACTATATACAAAAAATGTATAATTTTATTGCTTGCAGTTATTTTAGGTGTCCATTTTTCTCTGGGATTTTAAGTCCTTAAGTTCCACAGATGCAAATTCTTGCATTACTTTGCACTGTAATTTTTATTTATGTGCCTGCTCATCTTAAGTGAAGTTGCTTAAATTTTCTAGTATTTTTGGGCATTATGCTATCCTTCTAGTGTGTGATATTAGATTTCATATTTTGCTAGCAAGTTTTGCTAACTGGCATTTTTCTTTTAATTAAAAATATCAAAGTAGTACTTGAGTTGGAACATATTTTTGATTTCTGTCTTGAAAATTGTATAAATGTATGGGCATGAAATAAAACAGTTTGTGAGCAAGTAGAATACTGCAAACATTAGTTTGTTACTGTATAGCTGCATTTATTAAAGATGATTATAAGATGTTTAAGTGTTGATAGGGCCAGCCAGGGTCCACTGAATTGTGAATGCTTAATTTCACTGTAGTCTGGCATGAGTATTGACTAAACAAACCTATCTATTCAGTCAGATTTTAATCTTACTGGTTTTAACATTCACCAATCTTCCCCCCCACCCCCCCCAAAAAAAAAAAAAAGCTGAAGGCAATCCAGAATGTCTTAGAAAATGGGCAGGAGAGGTAGGTTCTGCAGGGAATGAAGCCTTGTTTGAGCATCCTGACCATGTCTATTTAAAAGAAGCTAGGTTTTACCTGCTGCTTTCAGAATAGTAACTCTAATACAGCTTCCAGAGAAACATTTCAGTTGAGTCCTTTAAAGCAGTAAGTCATGTCATAAAGCAGATGGTGCTGAAGTTGTTAATCTGCCTACAGAATGTATTTTCGGTGTGAAATGATTATGCCAGCAAAGAATAGCAGAGAGGATGGAGTGGTCGGCCTTCTCGCCAGAAGAGCTGATTGCAGATAGAATGTGGCCGTCGATTATCATTCACTTTTCAGGGGAAGCTGCAGGAATTCAGCCTCAATAAACATGAAGGAAAACATGTGTTCTGAGATGGCCTCTTAAAAGTTGTTCTTTTGGTTTTATTAATGTTGAGAAGGTAAAGGCTGAAAGAAAGCGGGGAGGGAAGGTGAGAACATGTTGGAATCCACAAAGGACATTTGAACAGGCAGCGAAGACTGCTGTGGAAAGTGTGGCCATAGCTTATGTGAGTTGAACCTGTTAGTGAGGACCAGTTGACATGCAAGTTTTACAGAATTTGCTGCTAACTACAAGCCTGCTTTACCTTCTGAGTCCTGCTAGATTTGCTTCACTTCACACAGGCTTCCCAGGAAGATTTCTATTTTGATAAGCTGAGCTACCTGTTCTGTGGAGATGCAAAAATCCCATCTTACATGTTCAGTTCTGGCTACGATTGAGTGGTTTCTGTTCTTACAGAATAGGGTAGCATTGCTTCACAAGAGGTCCCTAGATCAAGGAAATCAGTAGAAAGCATTCAGCTTTAAAGGAAACCAGATTTTGAATTTTAAGAGGGAAGTGATGTCTCTATGCAGGTATTTGTATCTAGCTGACAAAGATACCTTAATGCAGATCTGAATAGGCTATATTAAGTTGTGTGAAACATCTAGAATATTTTCAGGATACATTTTGAGCTGAAGCGTATGTTTGTGTGTGTGTGTGTGTGTGTGTGTGTATATGTATATGCAGTATGTGTTTAGTATGCTTGTGACTCTTTCACCTAATAATGTTTTATGGGTTTTGTGATGCTATAAAGAAAAGGCAAATTTGTGTTGCCAGTTGGTTTTGCATAGTAACTCTGTGTGAATATTGAATGTTAATACCCAGTTTTAATATGATTGCATTCCTACTTCACTAGTACATACACTGTGTGTGCAATTAAGTTACAGTTAATCTTCTACAGACCAGCTTTAAATTTCAGACTCTAGAGGTCGTCTTGGAGTTATTTGAAAGAAAGGTGGGGAAAAACAAAGTATTCTCTTTGTTCCTTTTGTTTTGCTCCTACTAAGTACTGCTTGAATTAAAGCATTCGTAGGTTTGTGATTAAGAAATGTATGGTTGTTTTTCACTATGTTAATATAATTTTAGCTGGATGCTATAAAAACCTTGAGCATCCTGGGAAAGGTACCGTCACTTTTGAGTACGTCAGACATTTATCTCTGGTAATTTAATACCTGCCTTCCGTGTTGGAACCAGACCTGGTATCCACCTAGTAACCGGGGAAACACTTGCTATTCAGTCAAAGCAAGGTCTAATGTGTTTTGAACAATTTGAAAACCTAGTAGATAATATTTTGAAAGGAATTCATATTTTGAAAACAGCAAATAAAGATATTTTGAAAGCAGTTGATATTTTTAAAACAGCAAATATTTTCATCACTCTTGTGTATTTTCTTAAAAGTGTGAATGGAGTAAATGCAGTCTTCATATTAATTTGACTGAGTTTTTATTTTTGTTTTCATTCGGTGGCCTTTTTCATTTGGTGCAGTTAGTCTGATGAATAGGCAGGCCTTTCAGACAGGTACCCAGAATAGAATAACCATGGCCATTAATAGATCATTTAGCCATGAATGCAGAGAACATCTGTCAGACTGAATCCAAAAATACATTATTTCAAAGGTTGTTAAACAATGTAACAGAAGTCCCAATTAAACACAGTATCTAAATATTTGAAACATGTGGCTCAGTGTTGTAGTTTCTGGACAGCTGATGCCGAACTCACTTTTTTGTTATGACTGTATCACACAAAGAAAATCTTTACCCCTTCTTGCTAACGTGGTGCTGTGTTTTCAGCTCCAGGGTTATACCTGGTTCCTTGCACACTTATGTCAGCTGAGGACGTGCCTGGTCTGAGCCAGGAGATTTTCAGCCTCAGTTGCTGCTTGTCCTCCACGCTCTGGATGCTCTCTGAGCCTGTGGCCACTCAGCTGGCTCAGATCAATGCCATTTTTAGTAGCCTTCTACAATATTGCAGCATCTGTCCAATTGTACAAAAGTCAGCATCAAAAGCAGTGTCCAAGACTGTTTGGTCTTGGAAGAGGGAAGTATTTTCTGGTTTCTCTTTTCCTGCTGAATTTTAGAAGACTTCCTAGGAAACCTCCAGAACTTGCTCAAACAGAAGATGAGGAACATGTATCCTAGTTGGAGCAAATGCCAGCTGCTCAGGGACCCAGAGTTCTTCTCTGATGATTTAATGCCAGTGAGCCAGCAGTCAAAATATGCAGACTGTTCTCAAGCTGCACTGTGGTGTGACAAGTTTCACATATGTCTAGTAAAGTGATTTATTTTATCCTTTTCTTACTCAGGTAGCCTTGGGCGCATATTCTGCCCATGTCCTCTTTTATTTTTAGTTTGAAGGAAAGGTTGCTCATTAGCTCTGCTTTTCCCTTTGGCAGAGAAACGTCGTGCAGTACTTGAGGCATGCTGGTCACTCATGTCACAGATCT